TCACTTCAGATGTGTGAGCGGTTCCATGGAGACCTCACGGCCTCCTCTATTGTAATTCTGTGCAAAGCTGGAGAGTAATCAGATCCAACTCAGCTCAGAAGGTGCCCGTTAAGTGGCAAATGTGACTTGCATTTTCTCTGGGCAATTAAGAAGAGAGGCTGTGATCCAAAGCTCGGACTAATGTGCCTCTGGAAAACACTATGCTGAAACTGTTATGAATAATGAAAAGAGTTGTAAATAACGGCGCGTTTCTGCCACTAAGTAGCTAATTTGCAAAATGGCTAGCCAACATTATTCAGTTTGGCATCAGCAGTCCCTTGTCATGAGTAATTGCACCGGTTCCTTTGACTTTAGAAGTCCCAGCAACTGTAACCACCAACTCAGTAATGCTCCTTTTTTAACTTCATCCCTATCCTCATCCTTAGCTTTCCAAAGTTAACGCTTTTGGGAATGCAGCTGATGATGTGCTTAATTCCACCCTCAGCTCTGCCTGCTCTTTTCCTACAGAAATGGAAATAGTTTTTTCAGGAAATTCACACCCTAAGTCCTGTTTCACAGGAATATTGGGCCCAATTCTTTCTTACATACTTTATTGTACCCTATTTCCACTGTAAAGCCAATTGAAAAATGACAGCTGTTGACAAAAGCCTACTTATTTTTTAAGTTGGCATAGTCCTCTTCCAATAACTTGTCATAGTTTGAGGTTGAATGCGTGTTCCTAAGAGGACTTTTTATAATAATTTATATTTTGCCCAGTATCAGTCACTGTTAGGCAAGACTATTGCTAAGCCAGGGGAAGTTTAAATTAGGAGTAATGAGTTGGTGGTTGCGGTTGAGATTAAGGATGTATTGAGGAAGAATAAAGAACAAGATGGCAAAAGACTGCAACTGGATCATGGGATAGATGTAATGGTATGGGGGAAAGACCTTGGGAGACAGGGCAAAAATATACTTCTTAGGGAACGGTCAAATAAAAGGCAGCTTAGCCCACAGCTGGATAATGGATGAGGCAAAAGACTTAGAAGGAACCGTCCCTAGTTTCTTGGGGTTTATAGGACAGTGATAGTGAACCTTTTAGAGTCCAAGTGCCCAAACTGCAACCTAAAATCCACTTATTTATTGCCAGGTGCCTGGTGGGCGTGGCCCACTGGGTGGGCGTGGCTGTGGTGGTCGTGGCAGATTGGGTGGGTGTGGCCAAGGTGGGCATGACCACCTCGATGTTGCTCGTAGGGAGGGATGTCTGTGGGGGCCGGGCAAGGTTGGGGGAGATCCAGGGGGTCTCTGGCAGGTGGGGCAGTGGGCAGGAGGCTCATCCTGCAGGGTGAGGTGAGGCAAGGCAAGGCAGGGCGGGGGTGCCATTGTCACAGGGAAAGGTGAGGCAGGGGCCAGGGTGGCTGCTGCCTGACACCATCGGCCCCTGCACACAGAGGCCAGTGAGCACATGGGTGCTGGGATACATCAGGCCATGTGGGACCTCGGCGAATTAGCGGGCGGCTGGTTGAAGAGGGACGGTTGCCATCTCCGGGGCATGGCGTGCATGCCCACAGAGAAGGCTCTGAGTGCCACCTCTGGCACGCGTGCCATAGGTTCGTCGCCACTGGTATAGGAGATGGTGGGAATATTGTACTTTCAGACTTGCAAGATTTGGTTGATGCAGTAGAATCAGATTATCTTTTTGTGTTTCTTGTCTGGTCTACCTGGTAAGGCTGGCAACAATTTTGCAATCTTCTTGACTGTAGCTACCATGAGCCTTTTGTGTGTTTGATTTGTCTTACAAATGAGGGCTGCTCCGTGCTCTCTGAGCTTGGTTGTTTTCTTGCAGACGTTTCATTACCCAACTGGGCAACATCATCAGTGCAGGATAATCAATGCAACTAATGATGCTGCCTAGTTGGGTAATGAAATGTCTGCAAGAAAACAACCAAGCTCAGAAAGCACCGAGCACCCCTCGTTTGTAAGACAAATCAAACGCACAAAAGGCTCATGGTAGCTACAATCAAGAAGATTGCAAAAGAGACCATCAGAGACCACCAAGGACCCCTAATTTCAACCCTGAGCTGTAAACATTCTCCTTTATTGTCTTACGAATTTTTGACAATACAGTTAACTATACGTGGGAGAATTTTGCCACAAAAGTAACAGAAATGGCCATTCTTTTCCTTCTCTGCTGTTAAAAAAAAAAAATTCTCATTATTCCTCCCCTATAGCTGCCATTAAATATGCATGTTCATTTTCTCTCAAAAATTCTTCCTCGCTATCAGGAGAATTTGTATGAAAAATTCATTAGGATAGGCTTATTCATGAGAAATGTCTGTGGGATGGATATTCTTGTTTGCAAAGTTGTGCAAAAGTTTCTTCCCTGTGTAGCCTCAGTGCAGCTGCATCTGTTCCCAAATAGTAGCTCTGCTTTAACTTTTCCCTTTTCCAAAGAAACCATTTGCAGATGATCCTTCTTTCCTCTCCCTCCCATTCTGAATAAAATCAGACCTCATCATTTCATAAAGAGTTTCCCCATCTTATCCAAAGCATGCACACATGCAAAAGCAATTACCCTGATGTTGGGAAAGATGGAAGGCAAAAGGAGAAGGGGACTGCAGAGGATGTGATGGTTAGATATTGTCGTTGACGCAATGAACATGAATTTGGCCAAACTCCGGGAGATAGTGGAAGAGAAGGGAGTCCATGGAGTTGTGAAGAGTCAGACACGACTTAGGCACTGAACAACAATAATAACAGTAGCATTAACGACGTAAGTCTCTGGTTACTAGTTAAAAGTCTGGTTATAGCAAATTCTCAGGTTGCAATAAAGTCGATGCCATCTGCAACTCAACAGGCTTGTGACTTATCCTTTGATTGGTCAGGAACCCTAAATTCTGTGAAAAGTAGCCCCACATTTATAATATCAAGGTAAAGAATAGTCTTACTTTCCAGCTGAGATTCTTCCTTCTCTGTCCCTTTTACTGACAGCTCAAATTAATTTTCCCCTAAAGATCAGGGTCTTCTGTCCAGTTTCAAAGATGAGTTGATGAAAGATAGGATTCCAGGACTGAATTCAAATTAAATATAGCATTTCAAATTAAATGTAACCACCACTCTCAGGATCACTATTATATCTATTGTTGACTACTGTAACTGTTGCCTCTCTGATAAGCAATCACATTTAATGGTATTTTAAATGTCTCAGCTTATGTATATTTTTGTTTGTCCTGTATATATAAAGTGGCCTTCAAGTTGAACTTGAAATCTGGTGACTACGTAGATGTAACACACATTTTACTTGGCAGCTATCGGAAAGTGATTTAACACACTGCCATAATCCAGGATCATGTTTTGACTTCCACAAATGTGGGATTTCCTGGTGGTGTCTCCTACTTGTACTAAGCGCCTCTGATCCTGTTTAGCTTGTTGAGATCAGACGAGGTCACGTAAAGTGAGTACTTATTGGAGTACTGCACATGCAAAAATAAATATAAGGATAACAATCTTCAGATATTACTGTGAGAGCAATAAATCAAATGTCCTCTTCATAAGTGAGAAAGCGATGCTAAGTCATCAAGTTTCCACCCAGAACTTTTCTTCACCTCAGATCACCTGGTTTGTAGACTGAAGTCTACATGTCGCTGCTTACGTCTTGTCATATTACTCCTTCTATGATGCAGTAATGTTATATGACATCACTGCTTCATAGAAGGACCCCTGGTGGCTCAGTGGTTAGAATGCAGCGTTGTAGGCTAATTCTGCCCACAGCCAGGAGTTCGATCCTGACCAGCTCAAAGTTGACTCAGCCTTCCATCCTTCTGAGGTTGATAAAATGAGGACCCAGATTGCTGGGGTCAATAGGCTTACTCTGTAAAACTCCTTAGAGAGGGCTGTAAAGCACTGTGAAGTGATATATAAGTCTAAGTGCTATTTCTATTGATGTAATAGCAGTGTTTTTTTTTTCTAAAAAAAAAAAGGTGCTGGAACTCACACAGGTCATACAACCCTCCTTGCCTACTCTACAAGGTTCCATCCAAAAAAGGTGCTGGAACTCCGTTCTGGGCGTTCTATGAGAAAAAAAGCCCTGTGTAATAGTATGTTGGCCTTTCTTAAAGTTATGTCCCATCAAATACTCATATTCAGTTTGCAATGAGTTTCTATTCCAAGTTTTTTTAAAAATAATAATAATTATTATTATCGTTACTTATGCAGGTATTCCTCATACTATCCCTCATTTGTTCCTTTACTTCTCATTTCAGCTTCCTAGTTCTTTTTTTTATTATTAAAAGTTTTACAAATTCAATACATTATAACCCAAACCACTCCCACCCCTTCCCCCCTGATTACAGGGTAAAAAATAAACAAACATAATCTAACTAACATAACCCGACTATACTATCAATCAAATCCATTACACACTTTAACTCCTTTTCAAAACAAGTATTAACAAATTAAAAACAAAAATAATAATATAATTAAACCATAATACTAAAAATAATATAAATTCAACTATATTGAACTATTAAAAATAATCTAAAATCTACTCATAAGCAAGATAATACTTTTCAGTCTCATATTTCTTTTGAATATAATCAATCCATCTTCTCCAAACCGAAATATATTTTTCTTGTGAATGGTCCTTCAAATAGGCAGAGATTTTCACCATTTCTGCTAAATTAGACACCTTAACTATCCATTCTTCCATAGTAGGCAAATAGTTTTTCTTCCAATATTGCCCCACAAGTAATCTTGCAGCTGTTATAAGATTCAGCATCAAATCAATTTCTTTGACATCAAAATCTACAATAATACCCAGCAAAAATAATTGCGGAGTAAACTTTATCTTTCTCTTTAAAATCTTTTGAATATTCCACCAAATATTAATCCAAAGAGCTTTTATATCTCTACAAGTCCACCAAATATGAAAATATGATAATATGTGCTTGTCATGTCACTGCTTATGTGGGCCCTTCCCAAGAATTGTATTGCTAACCTTTTTGTGTCTCGTGGTTCTTGTTCAGGAAACTATGGCGAAAGTGGGATGGAAGCCTTCAAAGACATGTCTGCCAAAGAAGGGATCTGCATCGCTCATTCTTACAAGATCTACAGCAATGCCGGGGAGCAGAGCTTTGACAAATTGTTGGAAAAGCTCAGAAGCCATTTACCCAAAGCAAGAGTTGTTGCGTGTTTCTGCGAAGGCATGACAGTACGAGGGCTGTTGATGGCAATGAGACGCTTGGGGCTGGCTGGTGAATTTTTGCTGCTGGGCAGGTGAGTAAATCTGTTAATAATTGTTGCCTTCTTTTTACAAACAGAATAAATCCTTCAGTATTTAAATTTGAGCCGCATCCTGGTTAAATAGATCTTGGTTGATTAACATCAGGAGAACATCCATCCGCTATGGGTAATTCTTTTTTTTTTTAATTTTTTTATTCATAATACAATTAAAACAAAAATGGACAAACATGACATTCCAGAATGAATTTTCCTAACAGTTTGTTTCTCATGGTACAAAAACTTAATACATCGTTCTTAACCTCTATATAAGCCTCATCCTTCTATACAATACAATTATATATACAATTATATGTACAGTTATATATATCTTTTAATTCTACCATTAACTTGAAGTCCGAGCAGTTCTCCTTAATTCATACCAACGGTAAAATTTGTCCCAGATTTCGAAATATTCGTGTTCTGTCTTGTGTTTCATAATCATTGTAAGCCTGTCCAACTCAGCACATGATAAAATTTTATTCAGGATCTCTTCTTCTTCAAGGTAATTCTTGACTTACAACTATTTGTTTAGTGACTGTTTGAAGTTACAACAGCAATAATAAAAAATGGACTTATCACCAGTCGTTGGATCATAGCATCTTCATGGTCATGTGACCAAAATTCAGGTGCATGGCAACTGGCATGGATTTATGATGGTTGCAGCATCCTGGGGTCATGTGACCACTATTGGCGACCTTACCAGCTAACTTCTGACAAACAAAGTCAATGGGGGAAGCCCGATTCGACCATGTGATTCACTTAGTGACTCACTTAGCAATCATGGTCTGAAAGGTTGTAAAATCAGGCGGGACTCACTTAACAATGGAAATTCTGGCCCGAATTGTGGTTGTTAAGTCAAGGAATACCCGTGTTTCCTTTGTGGCCCAGGAATTCAGGACTGAAACTTAGGTTTTGCAAAATTGCACCAAAGTAGGGTAGCAGGCAAGCAATGATCCTCTAAAAGAAGACTTATTTTGTCTTCTGTGGGAGGAAAAACATTAGGATGCTGCTTTTCCAATGAAGCATGTCACCTGCTATTCTTATAATTGTTTTTATTTTCTATATCGAAAACATTAAACTGCCTGCTTAACTGATCAGTGAGAAACCTTTTAATGCACTAGGAGGAGTTTGAACAACTCCTGCAACCGGTTAAGCCTTTAAACCAGCTGTTTCCAACTTTTTCTATACCCCTCACCCCTAGAATGCTTCTGATATATTCTCACACCCCTTAAAAAAGTAATGCCTAGTTATGCATATACATTATAATTTTGAAACTTCTAACCCAAATTTTTGCACCCCCTGGAATATCGTCTCACACCCCCAGGAGGTGCGAGCATCCTGATTGGGAACCCCTGCTTTAAATCAACCCTTTGAATCTTGCATTACTTTAATATAGTAATACAGGGAGATGTTAGAATTCCTGGAAGGTGGAAAACACAAGTGGAATCATTTATTTGGATCCAGGAGACCGGCTAACAGATTTCTGCGTGGAAAGAGAGCTTGTGGCCTTCGAAAGCTTGTTTAATTTTGGCCTTGTAGTTCCTTTCACTACTGGCTGTGCTGGATGGGTTTTGAAAGCTGAAATTCGGCAAAGTTTGGAAGGTTCTATTCAGTTACAATTACAATTTTGGTTGCTTAGCAAGGCGGTTATTGAGTGAATCACACCCAGATTTATGACCTACATTATTTGCCATGGTTGTTAAGTGAATCAGTGCAGTTAAGTGAATCATGTTAAATAAATCTGGCTTTTCCCATTGCTTTTTTTGAAAGCCAGTGAGAAGGTCACAAATGGCATCATCTCAACCATCGTAAATACATGTCGGAAGGGACCTTGGAGGTCATCTAGTCCAACCCCCTGCTCAGGCAGGAAATCCTATACCATTTCAGAAAATGGCTGTCCAATCTCTTCTTAAAGACTTCCACTTTTTTTGAGTGCCGCTGTAACTTCAAACGGTCATTAAACGAATGGTTGTAAGTCAAGGACCATATGTCCTACTTCTGTGGTTTTCTGGGTCCTTTAAGTGGAGACAGGATAATATAGGCAAATGTTGCATGTTTGCAGGGCCTCCCGCTTTCAGCCAGCCTTTTCTTCCCCAGAACTAATGAAAATACGACATACTGTTTCTGCAATTCAATTTAGGGTTTCAATTAAACTCTAATGTAATTTTTTTTCACCAGTTTCCTTCAGTCTAAATGCAAAAACTTGCTTCCCCCCCTCCATCAAAGCGGAAGATAAGGTTGAAGTTCATGGGTGGAATCTAGAACACTTGAGTTTACCTTAATTTCTAGGTCTGTCTTTCGTTGCACAATTTCTCAATATTCTATTTTCAATCATTTTCAGTTTGACAGATGGGAATTCAGTCCTTGCCTTTCATGTTGAGGTCAGGCCATCATGCCTTTATAATTTTAATTTATTTGAGCCCAACATGTTACATGAATGCATTGTTTTGCTAGCTTTGAAGTAATATTTAGCACGTGAACTAACTACACACACTGATATACAGTATGCTGCATGTATGATGAGATTAAACTTCTGAATTTTGGACGGCAATGGATAATTCATTGATCAGCATTTGCTGGCCTCCTTGGAAAAATCTGGGTTCATCTTGTAAAGCTTACAGCTATGTAGTTTCTGGTTTATATGGTACAATAAAGTGTTCTGCACAATGGCATCTTTAGGAAAGTAAATACTGACTGGAAAGATGGCCCTAATCCATACTATGAAGACTGAATGAACATGGTGTTGCAAGCAGATTGTATTTAGCTGCCCTCCTCTCATCAAGAGGACAAACTATTGGACTTCCAATAAGAATGTGATGATTGACGGTACATTACTGTGTTTTATTGCTCCGATTAATTTAGTTAGCCGTGTCAGTGCTAATAAGGGCTTACCACCGTGCAGAGCTCTCAAGTGAATTTGCCAGATGAGAAAACACTGAAGAGTCCATCATATTGTATACTGGAAATTTGTAGGAGAAGAAGCAGAGTCTGGGGGTAGAGTCAAATAAGTAATTAGCCTAGAGTCGTTACGTTCCCATAAGCGGTCCAGGTCCAACCCCTCTAGAATTCCTTTAACTCTTATTTAATGTCAATTTAATGCTGACCGTTAGTTGACTAGATTCTTGTGTGATGAAATCTAGTGGAAAAGACAACAATAAATAGCAAAATGTTCAAGCTAAATCTGATCAGTCCAACTGTTTGTATTTATAACACTTTGGTATGTGTTCACAAATGTATAGCACTGTAAAGTTTTGTCCTCTATTTTTTAGTGGTGAAAAACTTAGCTTAGGTTTTGCAATTTAGGTGTGCTTATCACCTCACTGTAAACCTGACTGGTATTCAAGATACCCATGTGAGCCCATCTACCTCCCTGTCCCACTTGGTTTTATTTTCTGGAAGGTGTTTTTTAGCTTCTTTTAATTGAAATGAAAAAAATGATGATACAAGTAGTCCTCGACTTATGGTCAGAATTGAGCCCAGAATTTATGTTACTAAGTGAGAAATTTATTAAGTGAGTTTTGCCCAGTGGTGGGATTCAAATACCTGAACAACCGGTTCTATTATGTGATGCAGGCTTGGGCCTCTGATGCCTAGAATGGACTTCCAGAAGTGGCATTGTGCACTTCCGGTGGGCTGTTCTAGGCCACGGAGGCCTCCTCCATGCCTCCAATGCCTAGAACAGACTTCTGAAAGTGGTATCCATGCACTTCCGGTGGGCCGTTCTAAGCCTGGGAGGCCTCCGAGGCCTAGACTGGATTTCCAGAAGCCAGCCAGTTCTCCGAATTCAGATAAATTTAGACACTGCAAAATATGAGTCAGTTGCCAAGCATCCGAATTTTGATCATGTGTCCATGGTGCAACGGTTGTACATAAGTGTGAAAATGGTCATAAGGCACTTTTTTCAGTGCTGTTGTAACTTTGAACAGTCACTAAGTGAACTGTTGTAAGTCGAGGACTACTTGTACTTGTTTTTCAAATCTGAGGGAGAGAGAAGTGATAAACAGTTGAGCAGAACTTTGATGTGCCCCCAAATAACAACAGAGAAGGAGAAGGATTACATTTTCTTAGAACTACCAGGCAACATCCCAGTGATAGGTAGTAATGTTGAAGAAGGCAAATAATAGTAAATAGTAGTAGCAAGAAGTAGTACTTCTTTTAGAAGTAGTACCTGAGAGAGGGATCTTAGAGTCCTGGTGGATAATCACTAAAATATGAGCCAGCAGTGTACTGCAGCAGCCCAAAAAGCCAACATGGTCCTAGGTTGCATTAACAGAGGGATAGAATCAAGATCACATGAAGTGTTAATACCACTTTATAATGCCTTGGTAAGGCCACATTTGGAATATTGCATCCAGTTTTTGTTGCCATGATGTAAAAAAGATGTTGAGACTCTAGAACAGGGGTGTCAAACTCAATTTCATTGAGGGCCACATCAGCGTTGCGGTTGGCCTCAGGGGGGCCGGATGGGTATGGCCTACTGGGTGAGCGTGGATGGAGTGGGTGTGGCCTACTGGGTAGGCGTGGCCAGCTCTACATCATTTGCATCAAGGGTGTCTGTGGGGGCCTGGGCAGGAGTGGGACAGATCTGAGGGTCTCTGGCAGAAGGGGGTGGGACCAGGGCAGAGCCCATCAAGCTGGATATGTGAAGTAGGCGAGGGCCATTTGTGGCCACTTCCAGGCGATGGTGCATTTCTTCATTCCTCCCAAAGGGTGACACCTCTCCAGCATGCACCCAGGGGGCGGGGCCGACACGGCAGGGGCTGGTTCCTCACTGTTTCCAGACGGCCTTGTGGAGCTAAGACTGAATGCATTTCAGCATAGATGGCCACCACAAAATTGTACATTGGCTCCCGGCCGGCCTGGACCAGGGCCAAGGCAGCGAGGGCCATTCCCTCACTGTTTCCAGGATGGCTTCGCAGGCCACATGAAACCACTTTGCGAGCCGCATCCGGCCCCCAGGCCTTGTGTTTGACATGTCTGCTCTAGAAAGAGTA